TGTGCGAGGTTTATTTTTCCTACGCGGTTTTCGTTACTCGCCAAGGTTTTAACGAGGCAACACATGCTGATTGGAAAGATTGTGCGTTGTACTCTTTTTCCTAACCGAGATTGTTTTTTTTCCCACTGGGTTTTTATTACTCGGAAGGTTTTAACGAGGCAACATGAAAAGCACAGTAGTGTTTTGATAGGAATCCCCAAGGGGGAGTGTTGTAAATAATATGGAAAAGTGGGTTTTCCTATCCTAACACATGAGAGGTTGTAACCTCCATATTCCACTATAGATTCTCAACTTCCCACTACCCCGTTATCCCCACACATTGTAGTGGTTGTAACTCCTATATAACTCCTTTGTAACTTTCGGTGGATTACACCTATATAAATGAGAATCTCCCCTCCCCTAAATACCCACAATTTTCTCTCTACGGATCTTGTTTACTTGCATGTATTCTCTCATTCTCTCTTCATTATTGTTATTTACATTCTTATGTATTTCCACAAACACAAACCAAAGAGCTAGATAAATAGGCCATTTTACAACAAATTGAACATTCTGAAAATTTCATTTTAGGCCTATATAAGTTCGAGGTTAGTATGTAATTTTTGAAATCTATAATTTAAGGGTATTTTGTGTCAAAAATACACTCCGAGTTGCACAATTGGCGAGTGTAGCACACGATAAGCTCTCAGAGACCTTACCGGTGGCTTTAACTAAATTTCGTAGGGGGTATTTGCTATCTTTTTTAATAGGAGGATTTTTTCGACAATTCAAGATTACACAAGGGTAATTTTTGCAACAAAAAAAAAAAAACCTTAATTTTATGGACAAAACCCGAAAGCGGAAGCCGGAAAGTAAAGGATCCTGTAGACTGTTATTTCGTCGACTGTATATTAAACATGGATTGACGTATTCATTAGAATTAGCTAAAAAAATTACATGCTCATAAATATGAATTACTTGGTCTAATTCTTGCATATTATGAAATTAATTAATCTCTTATCTTAGAGAATCCAATTTTAGTTCACGAAAAAACTACTTTAACATATCCTTCCATCTTTTAGCAAATTTTTTTACCATCTCTTTACATTATAAATTTCATGACACACATTAACACAAAGACACAAACGAGAAATGGCCGTAACTCGTATTCATCAATTTTTGCTAGTAATTTTTATGATAATTGGGCTTACAACAATGAAGATCGACACGACATTGGGCCAGCATCCTAATTCCTCTAGAATTTTGTCACATTGTTGGAGCATAACCAATTTCATCGTATATTGTTCATTTTACATATCTAATAGGCATCCTATGTTCGATGCACCAAATGAAAGATGTTGTAAGTATGCCCGAAAGACGAACATAAAACTCTTTTGCGAAAAACTTGTGACTGACAAGGATATAATATATAGTTCCTATAAAGTGGTAGATCTTGCCAGATACTGCGATAATCCACTTCCCGTTGGTACTAAATGCGGAAGTAAGTCTCAATTTCTAAACTTTTATGTTCACGTTGAAATCATTCACATAACTACAATAAATTTTATACAATGTAAATGTTAAATTTTAGTTAAATAAGTTGAAAAAATATTATAGTGTAAAAAAGTCAATCAATTTTAGCATATTTTAGAATGCATTTAAAATCTACCAAGATAACTTGATCTCATTTCTGCATATTATGAAGTTAACGTGCTTCTTATCTTACAAAATTCAATTTTATTTCGAGAAAACCTCTTCTAATAAATCCTTCAAATTTATCAAAATCTTTAGCATTGCGTTTACAACAATAAAGACCGACATGGCCTTGGCCAACCAGTTTCATCGTAAAATTTTCATTTTACATATCTACTATGATTCTTTATCCTATATTTATGCCCGAAAAGACAGACATAAAATTCCTTTGTAAATGTTTTGTGAGCGGCAACGATATAATACTATAAAGTGATACTTTTTGCAAGACATTGTGGTAATCGACTTTCAGTCGGTACAAAATGTGGAAGTAAGTCTCAATTTCTTAACTTTACAGTTCGTATTGAAAACACTTTCGTGTCGCTACAATAATATTTATATAATTTTTTTTTGTTAAATAAGATGGAAAACTACTATAATGCAGAAAGAAGTTTTAAAAATGTTTCGGTTGCATTTGAAAATCTACTAAAATAACATAAAATATGTCAAAATAGAGTTAATAATTTAAAATCCATCATAAAATAGATTCATCAAATGGTTTTAATTTGATGAATTCATTGGTATGGATTTTAATCCTCCCTTTAATTCATAGGCTACAAAGAGATAATGACATATTTATTAGCATGGATTTGAAATCCTTTCTTCAAATCATCGGATGCAAATATTATTATTAATTTAATTTTTTTTCTCTTTAAATCATTCAATACAAATGAAATAAAGTAAAATTTACTACAATAAATCTCTTACAATTGCCTTGACATTAATTTTGTATAATGCAGATTATGAAGCTCCCCATGAAGTGAATGAAACCTAGCAAGCAGCATACTGCTCAGATACTAATAAATTACATGTAGCTAAATCATGGTCCTTGTAATAATTTTACAAATAATTTTAAAATTTTGAGATCCTTTCTTCAAATTATTTGGATGCAATGTTTTGATAGATACATTATTACGGATTTAAAATCCTCGATTCAAATTATTCAATGCAGATGTTATATGTTCGTGAGATTAATGGGAGTACTATTTTTCAAATACTGTAATTTATTACGAAAATCTTATCACTACAAGAACCAAGTTTGAACACGAAAAAAAAAGTAATAGTGTAAAAAAGATTACATGCTCATCAATGTAGATCACTTGATCTCATTGATGCATATTCTGTAATTAACGAGCCTCTTATCTTACAAAATTCGATTTTATTTCAAGAAAATCTCCATTAATATATCTTTCCAATTTAGCAAAATTTTTAGCATTGCTTTACATTATAAAATTGCATGACACATCATAGGCATAGAGACACATACGAGAAATGGTTGCGCCTCGTATTAATAATGTTTCGCTAGTAATTTTTTTGATAATTGGGTTTACAACAATGAAGATCGACATGGCCTTTGGCCAACCTCCTAAATCCTCCGGAACCTCGTCACGTTGTGCGGGCATTACCAATTTCATTGTGTATTGTTCATTTTACATATCTACAATAATTCCTTATCCTATGTTCTACAAACCAAATGAAAGATGTTGCAATTATGCCCGAAAGACAGACATAAAACTCTTTTGCAAAAAAATCGTTAGTGGCAGGGATATAATATACAGTTCTTATAAAGTGGTAGTTCTCGCAAGATATTGTGGTAATCCTATTCCTGTTGGTACAAAATGTGGAAGTAAGTCTCAATTTCTTAATTAATCTTCTTATTGAAAGCACTTTTGTGTAGCTACATTAAATTTTATGTAGTTTTAATGTTTAATTGTTAGCTAAATAAGTTGGAAAACTACTATAATTTAGAAATAAGTTTTAAGATATTTTATATCCTCCCTTCAAATCATCTACAAAAAGAAAATGCCGGATATATTAGCATGGATTTGAAATCCTCTATCTAAATCATTGAATGCAAATATTTGATGAATTATGAATATTTTCTCTTTTAAATCATTCAATACAAATGATGGTTAGAAGTTTTAATAGGAGATTATTATAAATATGTTACAATTGTTTTGACATTAATTTTCTATGATGCAGATTATGTAGCTCCCCCGTGAAGTGAATAAAACCTAGCAAGCGGCGTAGTACTCATAGATTAATAAATTACATGTAGCTAAATCATGGTCCAAATAATTTAAATAACAATTAGATAGTCGTTTGATGCTCAGTTAAGCACTTTCGTGCGTGTCTCTCTCTCTCTCTCTCTATATATATATAAAATTTTTTCTCAATTTTTTTTTTCGGCCAGATTCTGGCGTTGTCTTTTTTTTTTTCTAATTTTTTTTCTTAAAAAAAATATTTTAATTAATATTACTGTCTTGGCTACTAAATTATAGTGTCTCAGACAGTTTGGGACAGTAATATTATGAATATTATTTTCTCGAACAATAATATTAGGCAATAATATTAATTAAAATAATTTTTTTTAAGAAAAAAAATTAAAAAAAAAAATTAATTAATTAACAGTTAAATAACTGCTGGAGATAGTAATTTAGCAGCGAAGACAGTAATATTAATTAAAATATTTTTGAAGAAAAAAAAAAGTCAATTAACATTTAAATTACTATCTCCGACAGTTAAATAACTGCCGGAGACAGTAATTTAGCAGCCAATACAGTATTATTAATTAAATATTTTTTTAAGAGTAAACAAAATTATAAAAAAAATAGTCAACGGCAGTTGACCTACCGAAAAAAAAAAGTCAACGGCGGAGACCGGCGGTCAACAACGGCGACCAACGGTCTCTGGTGGTGACGGGTCAAAATTGGGGTCAAAATTGAAATTAAGGTTAAAATTGGTTAATTGATGAAATTGGGCTGAATTGGGGTGTAAATCATGAAATTGGAGTTGAATTGAGTTCAATGAATTAGGGGTAATTATGGTATATATAAAAGGATTTTTCTTATTTGCAAATAAGTTTGAATGAGTTGGATTTATTTGAAAGACAAAAAAATTGGATGTCCCTCTTTTAATTAAATGCCCTTGTCACTTGTCATGGGCCTATTTACCATTTGCCATATATATATATATATATATATATATATATATATATATATATATATATATATATATATATATACCTTTTCTAATTCTAGATATTGCTTTTGAGAGAAATGTTACAAACATATCATTTTTTTCCAGTTCCCCTTGAGGTTATATATTTTGTGATCTGGATATATAATATTGGACAAAAGATACATGATCATAAAAATACATTGGATTAAGAGTAATTAATTAACAAATTAATTAACTTTTTGGCTGATAAACTTCATTCAATATATAATCGAGAATTGTTTAAATATGGATGACATGAAACCTAGAGTAGTTTACGTAGTGATTAGATCAGGTAGACATGTCGGATTCCCTAGCACTAGACCACCAACATCTGGAAATAATTTTTGTCCAGGCAAATGGTTTACTTTTCCATCAACTTCAACTTTCACCGGATATTTGAGAATGTGCCCTTGTAACGAACTGTACTCCTCAGCTATGTATCTCTTCCAGTTATTATCGGCAATACTATTTGTATACTTAACACACTCCAAATTCTCAGGATTTTTGAAGCAATTCTCAATGCATCCAAGGTGTTCTGCCCAAAGTGACATTCTATATCCATATTGATACGACATATAATTTAATATATTACTTATTTATTGTTTAGTTAGTATTTTATTATTATTAATTAATTAAAGTAGTATATGTAGTTTTATATTACCGTGTGTTTAGTATTTAGGATAGATATTAAGTATTTTATTAGGATAGGTAATTATCTTTCCTAGTTAGATTAGGATTCTAGGGTTTTATTCTCTTTAAATAGTCGTCTTGTGCTAGGGTTTTATAATGAAGAGAAATAATAAAGAAGAGTTTTCTTACGTTTAGTAAAGAAATCTTATGATACTCAAGAGATCGTATCAATTGGTATCAGAGCGAAGTTGCGATTAACACCAACGCTTCGTTAGCAAGGCAGCGATTACATCAAAGCTACGCTGGAGCAAAGTTGAGATCACATCAAAACTTTGTGAAAATCATGATGTCAGAAACAAGACGGTTGGAGCGATTGGAGAAATCCGTAGAGAGATTACGGATTGACTTTCAGAAATTGCTCGAACAAAGTCACGGACGACGTCAACGCCAACACAAAAGCCGAAGGGACCGCCGCCCATCACCGCCAACGCCACTGCTACCATCACCACCGCCGTTGCCGAGCCTATCGCCGGAGGAAGAGGAAGAGGACGACGATGATTTTTTCGAAGAACCCCAGAAGAA